ATTTATCTGTTTTAATTTGTCACGACAAAATCGAAACCTAATTGAATACACTTTAAAGTCTAACCGACAAATTCCCCACGTAAAATTTTAAGTAAAAAAAATTAATTCTAATTAAAAATCACATTTTCAATTTCGTTTTCGACTTAAAATATGTTAAATCAATATTGATCAGGTTTAGTTTGTAACGACAAAATCGAAATCTAATTGAATAAACCTAATACTCAAAGCGACAAATTCCCCAAGTAAAATTTTAAGTAAAAAAAATTAATTGTTATAAAAAATCACATTTTCAATTTCGTTATCGACTTAAAATTTGATTAATCAATATTGATCAGGTTCAATTTGTCACGACAAAATCGAAACCTAATTGAATACACTTCAAAGTCTAAGCGACAAATTCCCCAAGTAAAATTATATGTAAAAAAATATTAATTGTTATTAAAAATCACATTTTCAATTTCGTTTTCGACTTAAAATATGTTTAATCAATATTTATCTGTTTTAATTTGTCACGATAAAATCGAAGCCTAATTGAATACACTTTAAAGTCTAACCGACAAATTCCCCAAGTAAAATTTTAAGTAAAAAAAATTAATTCTAATTAAAAATCACATTTTCAATTTCGTTTTCGACTTAAAATATGTTTAATCAATATTTATCTGTTTTAATTTGTCACGACAAAATCGAAACCTAATTGAATACACTTTAAAGTCTAACCGACAAATTCCCCAAGTAAAATTTTAAGTAAAAAAAATTAATTGTTATTAAAAATCACATTTTCAATTTCGTTTTCGACTTAAAATATGTTTAATCAATATTGATCAGGTTTAATTTGTCACGACAAAATCGAAACCTAATTGAATACACTTCAAAGTCTAAGCGACAAATTCCCCAAGTAAAATTTTATGTAAAAAAATTAATTGTTATTAAAAATGACATTTTCAATTTCGTTTTCAACTTAAAATTTGTTTAATCAATATTGATCAGGTTTAGTTTGTAACGACAAAATCGAAACCTAATTGAATACACTTAAAAGTCTAAGCGACAAATTCCCCAAGTAAAATTTTCATTAAAAAATATTAATTCTTATTAAAAATCACATTTTCAATTTCGTTTTCGACTTAAAATTTGATTAATCAATATTGATCAGGTTCAATTTGTGACGACAAAATCGAAACCTAATTGAATACACTTTAAAGTCTAAGCGACAAATTCCCGAAGTAAAATTTTAAGTAAAAAAATTAATTGTTATTAAAAATCACATTTTCAATTTCGTTTTCGACTTAAAACATGTTTAATGAATATTGATCAGGTTCAATTTGTCACGACAAATTCGAAACCTAATTGAGTACACTTCAAAGTCTAAGCGACAAATTCCCCAAGTAAAATTTTTATTAAAAAATATTAATTGTTATTAAAAATCACATTTTCAATTTCGTTTTCGACTTAAAATATGTTTAATCAATATTTATCTGTTTTAATTTGTCACGACAAAATCGAAATCTAATTGAATACACTTAAAAGTCTAAACGACAAATTCCCCAAGTAAAATTTTCATTAAAAAATATTAATTCTTATTAAAAATCACATTTTCAATTTCGTTTTCGACTTAAAATATGTTAAATCAATATTTATCTGTTTTAATTTGTCACGACAAAATTGAAACCAAATTAAATAAACCTAATACTCAAAGCGACAAATTCCCCAAGTAAAATTTTAAGTAAAAAAAAATAATTGTTATTAAAAATCACATTTTCAATTTCGTTTTCGACTTAAAATATGTTTAATCAATATTGATCAGGTTTAATTTGTCACGACAAAATCGAAACCTAATTGAATACACTTCAAAGTCTAAGCGACAAAATCCCCAAGTAAAATTTTATGTTAAAAAATTAATTGTTATTAAAAATGACATTTTCAATTTCGTTTTCAACTTAAAATTTGTTTAATCAATATTGATCAGGTTTAGTTTGTAACGACAAAATCGAAATCTAATTGAATACACTTAAAAGTCTAAGCGACAAATTCCCCAAGTAAAATTTTCATTAAAAAATATTAATTCTTATTAAAAATCACATTATCAATTTCGTTTTCGACTTAAAATATGTTAAATCAATATTTATCTGTTTTAATTTGTCACGACAAAATCGAAACCAAATTAAATAAACCTAATACTCAAAGCGACAAATTCCCCAAGTAAAATTTTAAGTAAAAAAAATTAATTGTTATTAAAAATCACATTTTCAATTTCGTTTTCCACTCAAAATATGTTTAATCAATATTGATCAGGTTTAATTTGTCACGACAAAATTGAAACCTAATTGAATACACTTCAAAGTCTAAGCGACAAATTCCTCAAGTAAAATTTTCATTAAAAAATATTAATTGTTATTAAAAATCACATTTTCAATTTCGTTTTCGACTTATAATATGTTTAATTAATATTGATCAGGTTTAATTTGTCACGACAAAATCGAAACCTAATTGAATACACTTCAAAGTCTAAGCGACAAATTCCCCAAGTAAAATTTTCATTAAAAAATATTAATTCTTATTAAAAATCACATTTTCAATTTCGTTTTCGACTTAAAATTTGATTAATCAATAATGATCAGGTTCAATTTGTGACGACAAAATCGAAACCTAATTGAAAACACTTCAAAGTCTAAGCGACAAATTCCCGAAGTAAAATTTTAAGTAAAAAAATTAATTGTTATTAAAAATCACATTTTCAATTTCGTTTTCAACTTAAAATTTGTTTAATCAATATTGATCAGGTTTAATTTGTCACGACAAAATCGAAACCTAATTGAATACACTTAATAGTCTAAGCGACAAATTCCCCAAGTAAAATTTTCCTTAAAAAATATTAATTCTTATTAAAAATTACATTTGCAATTTCGTTTTCGACTTAAAATATGTTTAATCAATATTGATCAAGTTTAATTTGTCACGACAAAATCGAAACCTAATTGAATACACTTCAAAGTCTAAGCGACAAATTCCCCAAGTAAAATTTTTATTAAAAAATATTAATTGTCATTAAAAATCACATTTTCAATTTCGTTTTTGACTTAAAATATGTTTAATCAATATTTATTTGTTTTAATTTGTCACGACAAAATCGAAATCTAATTGAATACACTTCAAAGTCTAAGCGACAAATTCCCCAAGTAAAATTTTTATTAAAAAATATTAATTGTTATTAAAATTCAGATTTTCAATTTCGTTTTCGACTTAAAATATGTTTAATCAATATTTATTTGTTTTAATTTGTCACGACAAAATCGAAACCTAATTGAATACACTTTAAAGTCTAACCGACAAATTCCCCAAGTAAAATTTTAAGTAAAAAAAATTAATTCTTATTAAAAATCACATTTTCAATTTCGTTTTCGACTTAACATTTTTTTAAGCAATATTGATCAGGTTTAATTTGTCACGACAAAATCGAAACCTAATTGAATACACTTCAAAGTCTAAGCGACAAATTCCGCAAGTAAAATTTTCATTAAAAAATATTAATTGTTATTAAAAATCACATTTTCAATTTCATTTTAGACTTAAAATATGTTTAATCAATATTCATCAGGTTTAATTTGTCACGACAACATCGAAACCTAATTGAATACACTTAAAAGTCTAAGCGACAAATTCCCCAAGTAAAGTTTTCATTAAAAAATATTAATTGTTATTAAAAATCACATTTTAAATTTCGTTTTTGACTTAAAATAAGTTTAATCAATATTTATCTATTTTAATTTGTCACGACAAAATCTAAACCTAATTAAATACACTTTAAAGTCTAAACGACAAATTTCCCAAGTAAAATTTTAAGTAAAAAAAATTAATTGTTATTACAAATCACATTTTCAATTTCGTTTTCGACTTAACATTTTTTTAAGCAATATTGATCAGGTTTTATTTGTCACGACAAAATCGAAACCTAATTGAATACACTTCAAAGTCTAAGCGACAAATTCCGCAAGTAAAATTTTCATTAAAAAATATTAATTGTTATTAAAAATCACATTTTCAATTTCATTTTAGACTTAAAATATGTTTAATCAATATTCATCAGGTTTAATTTGTCACGACAACATCGAAACCTAATTGAATACACTTAAAAGTCTAAGCGACAAATTCCCTAAGTAAAATTTTCATTAAAAAATATTAATTGTTATTAAAAATCACATTTTCAATTTCGTTTTCGACTTAAAATAAGTTTTATCAATATTTATCTGTTTTAATTTGTCACGACAAAATCGAAACCTAATTGAATACACTTCAAAGTCTAAGCGACAAATTCCCCAAGTAAAATTTTAAGTAAAAAAATTAATTGTTATTAAAAATCACATTTTCAATTTCGTTTTCAACTTAAAATTTGTTTAATCAATATTGATCAGGTTTAATTTGTCACGAAAAAATCGAAACCTAATTGAATACACTTAAAAGTCTAAGTGACAAATTCCCCAAGTAAAATTGACATTAAAAAATATTAATTGTTATTATAAATCACATTTTCAATTTCGTTTTCGACTTAAAATATGTTTAATCAATATTTATCTGTTTTAATTTGTCACGACAAAAGCGAAACCAAATTAAATAAACCTAATACTCAAAGCGACAAATTCCCCAAGTAAAAGTTTAAGTAATAAAAATTAATTGTAATTAAAAATCACATTTTCAATTTCGTTTTCGACTTAAAATATGTTTAATCAATATTGATCAGGTTCAATTTGTCACGACAAAATCGAAACCAAATTGAATACACTTAAAAGTCTAAGCGACAAATCCCCCAAGTAAAATTTTCATTAAAAAATATTAATTGTTATTAAAAATCACATTTTCAATTTCGTTTTCGACTTAAAATATGTTTAATCAATATTTATCTGTTTTAATTTGTCACGACAAAATCGAAACCAAATTAAATAAACCTAATACTCAAAGCGACAAATTCCGCAAGTAAAATTTTATAAAAATTTCATTTAAATACTTACTAATTGTGGTATTTTCATGGTGAACTACGTCTGGTAAATCTACCTCATTAAGTGCGGGTTCTTCATCTTCTATGATGTGTTCTCCAATTTCATTAACTTCAGTCGTTGAAAATAACTGAAGTTCAAATGAAACATTCCCCTTATTAAATTCTACTTTTGTCGGAACTCTTGCTAAGGCACCATCAATATGTAATATCTAAAAAAAATTAAATTAAATAAGGAAATAAAAATTATCCAAATTGTAAATAATACTTTATACGAAATTCAAAACGTAGATAAATCTATTAATTTTTTTAGCGAAATTTGAAAGATGAAATTTTAAAAATAAACAAAAAAATTTCAGTTTTGGGAAGACAAAAAAAGTTAGGATAAAAAAAATTCGAATAAAATATTTTACCGTACTGATAACAAAGTATTCGGAAAACAGGGTTTTGGAAAATCTAGGTGTAACTGTATTTTTGTTTCATGATTTCTTAATAAAAAATTGAGCCTTCCAATTGTATAACTCGCCCTGCGGTCGGACGGACGCTTTAATGGTAGTCGGGTTGTAGCGGGAGAGCCATTGACGCTCGCTGCTACTCGACTACCAATAGAGCGTCCATCCGAGCGTCGGGCGAGTTATATAATTTGGAGGCTCAATTATTGTTTCTATCAAACATTTATTAAAAATCTTTTAAAGGAAATATGTTTTAAAATGTGGAAAAAGTTGTATTGGATGTAATATAGTTAAACAATAATAATTAAATTACTTAAAACACAAATTAAATATTTACAGTAACTTTTATAAACACTTAAAATATTACCTTGTTCACATGAATTTTATTTTCCAAGGATCTGATATCATTTTCTCCCCAAATGACGCACTGAATTTGTTTTCAGTTTCCATTGTTTACAAAAAATTTTAACAATTGTGATTTTCCAGTCATTTTTGAAGGTTGAACAGTATCACCGAAACAAACTAATTCTCTATAAAAATAAATATATTAATATTAAATATATTATATATATTATTCACGTACATTTCAAAAATGTATACGAAAATTTAAAAAAAAAATTTTTGACCCCTTTTTCTCCAAAATCAAACTTTATTTTTCGATTTTCACCCCTTCAGGTATTTTTTTTTTTTTATTTTCATTGGAAAGCTGGGACGATTGAAAAAGAATCTCTCATATATGGGGCATTCTATGGGAAATTTTCATTGCAAATTTTTTTTTGTCCGATACATTTTTTTTCCAAATCTATATGAAAAATAAGGAAATACGTATTTTTTAATTTTTTTCTTTGCAGAAAATGAAAGAAGTTATGATTATGACAAAAGTTAATGGATTGTAATTTATCAATAATTAATTTTAATGAATTTTTCACATACTTTTCAAAAATGCATACGAAATTAAAAAAAAAAAATTTCCCCCTTTTTTTAAAATCAATCCTTATTTTTCGATTTTCACCCCTTTGGTAATTTTTTTTTATTATTATTTCCATTGGAAAGCTGAGGTTCTTTCCCATAAGCTATGTAAATATGAAAGTGGGACAACAATAATTTTGTGAGAAACATAATATAAAAATAGGCGGTGCACCCGCGCAATCGAAGCAAAGATGAGTACCCATCGTTGTACACACCTATATTATTCCTATTTATTTCAGTAACAGCTCTCTGCATTCTACACGGTTAAGACTGTCCATAAAATAAACAAAAATTATTTTTAATTTAATAAAAGGGTGTTGAATTCCTTTTAAAATATTTTATTACATTTTTGTGTTTGTTTTGGTGAAAAATTCGTGAAGGAAATTTTTAATTTTTTTTAAAAAATAATCACATTCCACAAAGCCATCGATAATTTTTAAAATTAATAAAATTAATTAATAAAATCATTAATATGTTAACAGTAATAATAATTATTAAAATTTATTACAATTATTATAATAATAAAATTAATAATAAATAAATAATAGTAATATTAATTATTATTATTATTTTCTCAATTTTAAAAATTATCGATGGCTTTGTGGAATGTGATTATTTAAAAAAAAAAATAAAAATTTCCTTCACGAATTTTTCACCAAAACAAACACAAAAATGTAATAAAATATTTTAAAAGGAATTCAACACCCTTTTATTAAATTAAAAATAATTTTTGTTTATTTTATGGACAGTCTGAACCGTGTAGAATGCAGAGAGCTGTTACTGAAATAAATAGGAATAATATAGGTGTGTACAACGATGGGTACTCATCTTTGCTTCGATTACGCGGGTGCACCGCCTATTTTTATATTATGTTTCTCACAAAATTATTGTTGTCCCACTTTCATATTTACATAGCTTATGGGAAAAAACCTCAGCTTTCCAATGGAAATAATAATAAAAAAAATACCCAAAGGGGTGAAAATCGAAAAATAAAGATTGATTTTGAAAAAAATGGGGGAAAATTTTTTTTTTTAATTTCGTATGCACTTTTGAAAAGTACATGAAAAATTCATTAAAATTCATTAGAGATAAATCACAATCCATTAAGTTTTGTCATAATTATACAGATTTGAAAATTACAATGTTACCCTTAACATCACAACTTCAACCACCTCTACTTTCTACAAATTTTTTTTTGAATGAGTTTATATTTTAGGGATTTATTGCTTTCATATAAGACAATAATTTATTAAAGTATGAAGCCAATCACAGAACATTGACTTTTTGGGCTGGGGCGATTGAAAAAGAATCTCTCATCTTTAAACAATAATTGTTTAAAAACGTAAAAAATAATTTTTTTTCTCTTACAAAATAAATTCATTAAAATAGGAAAACATTATTTTGTTCTAAAATAAAGTTATATATTTTTTCAAACAACAATTCTTTAAACAGTTATTGTTTAAAAAAATTAGAAATTTGTTGTTTGAACAAATTAAATTTTTATCTCATACAAAATAAATTGATTGTAAGAGGAATATAATTTTAAAAATATTTTGTTTTCTTTTATCTCTAACCTGTTATTTGAAGACATGATGAAGACGTAAGTCGAACGACACAAAGCACTTCACAGTTGAACAATGAAATATCCTGGAAAGATTAAGTATACGTATATGAATAAGTAATGAATTTCGAGGAATTTACTAAATAGATTGAACGAAATTTTAGATAGGAACAACAAAGAAAAAGTAAGAACAACTATCTCTATATTTAAATATAATATCTACAAATTAATAGTTAATAGCAAATATTACAATATTTATTATTAATTTAAAATAAAAAATTTTATATTTTTTAATATTGACAATTCATTTTTCTTCGTAAAAAGTGACAATTGTTAAATTTAAATAATTATTAAAAAATCACTCACTTTAAAAATTAAAAAACTTATTTGGTAAAATTTTCGTTACAATAAAATTATTATAGGAACCTGGAATAAAATTGTTTTTAATAAATTTTATTTTATAAACAAAAACTTAACAATAAATGAGTAATCGTTTAATTTTACAATTATAAGCCCAAAAAACTAATATTAATTAATACAATAAAACAAATTTTCTACTGTTTTTTTATAAAAAAAATATTTTCTGAATAAAATAAATTTTTTAATTTTAAATATAATTATTAAAAAGGTATATCAATTTTAAAAAAGGAATAAAATATACATATCAAAAGGAACATATTTTAATTATTAATTGACAAAATATAATTGTAAATGAAAAATATTTTCTTTTTCTGACCTGTAATTTGAAGACGATGTAAAACGCCTGATAGTTCACGGGTTACTGACGATTAGCAAGTACTGGATATTGAGGAACAGCATGAGTGTGTTGAAATGAAGAAAGTTATCAATTTCTCAGAATTAACCACCTCGATCATATAATATATCCAAATATTTACAGCATATTACTTTCTTACTATTGTATTCCTCAAGAATATACTTCAAATATAATGTAGAAATATTTCTATAATGAATTGAAATATTATTAAAAATTTGGAAACGTAAAACATTAAAAAAAATAGTTTTCATATTTTAAAATTTTTAACATAAAAATCTAAAATTTAATTTTACTATTTTCTCATAATTTATTTACGATCAAAATATACTGACCTTGAATGAAATTTTTTCCATTACAACATTATATTTAAACGACAACTTGTTATAGTTTAATTTTTTTACATCATTATTCTAACTTCTTAAATAAAAATAAATTTTTCATGTAACAGTTTAAAATTCATAATATTCTTGTAAATTATTACAAAATAATAAGAACATAAATAATTGTTTTAGTTTTATTTTTTGTTAACTTCTTTGAAGTGCAATATACTGTAATATATGAGAGATTCTTTTTCAATCGCCCCAGCCCAAAAAGTCAATTTTCTGAGATTGGCTTCAAATTTTGGTAAATTGTTGTCCTATATGATAGTTATAAATCCTTAAAATATAAACTCATTAAAAAAATATTTGTAGAAAGTAGAGGGGGTTGAAGTTTTGACGTTAAGGGTAATATTGTCATTTTCAAATCCGTATAACTATGACAAAAGTTAATGGATTTTGATTTATCTATAATGAATTTTAATGCATTTTTCACGTAATTTTTAAAAATGTATACGAAAATTTAAAAAAAAAATTTTTGACCTCTTGTTTTCCAAAATCAAACCTTATTTTTCGATTTTCACCCCTTCGGGTATTTTTTTTTATCTATATTGGAAACCTGGGGCGATTGAAAAAGAATCTCTCATATATGGGGCATTCTATGGGAAATTTTCATTGAAAATTTTTTTTTGTCCGATACATTTTTTTTCCAAATCTATATGAAAAATAAGGAAATACGTATTTTTTAATTTTTTTCTTTGAAAAAAATGAAAGCAGTTATGATTATGACAAAAGTTAATGGATTGTAATGTATCTATAATGCATTTTAATGAATTTTTCACATACTTTTCAAAAATGCATACGAAATTAAAAAAAAAAAATTTTCCCTCTTTTTTTAAAATCAATCCTTATTTTTCGATTTTCACCCCTTTGGTAATTTTTTTTTATTATTATTTCCATTGGAAAGCTGAGGTTTTTTCCCATAAGCTATGTAAATATGAAAGTGGGACAACAATAATTTTGTGAGAAACATAATATAAAAATAGGCGGTGCACCCGCGCAATCGAAGCAAAGATGAGTACCCATCGTTGTACACACCCATATTATTCCTATTTATTTCAGTAATAGCTCTCTGCATTCTACAGGGTTGAGACTGTCCATAAAATAAACAAAAATTATTTTTAATTTAATAAAAGGGTGTTGAATTCCTTTTAAAATATTTTATTACATTTTTGTGTTTGTTTTGGTGAAAAATTCGTGAAGAAAATTTTTATTTTTTTGTGTGAAATAATCACATTCCACAAAGCCATCGATAATTTTTAAAATTGATAAAATAATAATAATTATTGTTATTACTATTATTTCTTTATTAATAATTTTATTATTATAATAATTGTAATAAATTCTAATAATTATTATTACTGTTAACATATTAATTATGTACTCGTCTTTGCTTCGATTGCGCGGGTGCACCGCCTATTTTTATATTATGTTTCTCACAAAATTATTGTTGTCCCACTTTCATATGTACACAGCTTATGGGAAAAAACCTCAGCTTTCCATTGAAAATAATAATAAAAAAAAATACCCAAAGGGGTGAAAATCGAAAAATAAGGATTATATTTTATTTATTTTTTATTTTATTGCAAGGACTTTGCATTGAAATATTTAAAAATTTCAATGAAATATTTCAGAAATATTTAGGAAATATCATGTGCTGTGTGGGGTTTAAACAATCTTCCAAAAATCACATTTTCTTCGTTGACGTTATATTTCAAAAAATCTTAACTTCTTTCATTTTCATGAAATAAAAAAATAAAGAAATACGTATTTCCTTATTTTTCAAATAGATTTCAAAATAAAAATTTTTCGGACAAAAAAAATTTTCAATGAAAATTTCCCATAGAATGTCCCATATACTGATACTCATAGAGTAACGAAAAAATAGTAGGTATATAATAAAAACTTTTATTACTAACCTTTTTAATACTCCACAAATTTAGACACTTTTCAAAACGAAAAAAAATATTGTCAACACTAAAATATTCTTTGCAGAAACTAACGCATGTAATTGAAGATCCGAGATGAACAACTCGTCAAGCGCTCGGACACACGCTCCAATGCCAGTCAGAGGTAAGAAAAAGTAAAAATATTAAAATTTTCTTTTTTAAATCAAACTACCTTATAGGAAATCGAAAGGCTCATCTTTTATTCTCTGAATTTTTTTGTAGAAGAATATTTTAATTAATAATTAACAAAACTGTCGAATTAAAATCTTATCGTCGTATTTTTCTTAAATATTGATGAATTTAGTTTAGATTTGGTTTACACACGCCTTTAGGGCCACTGAAGACGACAATATAAGGAAAAATTAAAAAAACATTAATAATTTAATGATAATGAATTATAAATACTGAGTGATCGATAGTTTTTAACATTCTTCAACAAAAAGTTTACGGGGAACTTTAAAATTCATCAAACTTACAGTGAAACATTTGTTTAGTAATACATAAGGAAATTTTCTGGAAAATTGCAGATCAATTTGTGAACAACATTAGAAAATATTCAAGTGTTTCAAAATTCTGCGAGTCGTACAATAGATTCGCTATGTGGAAAATTTGCGAAGTATTTTCTAAAGTTGTGAACATATTGAATTGCAATTTTCCATAAGCTTTCCTTATGTATTAATAATATTATGTCTCACTGAAAGTTTGATCAATTTTAAAGTTACATACAGACTTTTTGGCGAAAAATGATAGAAAACGATATTATCGACCGCTCTTTATTTACAATTAATTATCATTAAACAATTTAAGACTTTTTAATTTTTTCATTATATTTTCGTCTTCAGTTAACCTAAAGACGTGTGTATATCAAATGTGAACTAACTTAATCAATATTTAACTAAAATATGACGATTTGTTTTAAAATTGAATTTATAAATTTATAAAATAAATAAATTTATAAAATTTTAATTCGTCAATTTTTGTTAATTATTAACTATAATATTTTCTTTTTACAAAAAAAGACAGAGAAAAAAATGCATCATTCAATTTCCTATAAGTTAGTATGTTTTAAAAATCATAAATTCGAATTTTAATACTTTTCACCTTGTTAATACGAGCGTTCGACGAGTTCTTCTTCCCAGGTTCTTAATTGCTTTTTGCAAACCTACGGCAGTATCATTGTAATACTAAGAAACACTTACTGCAGATAAAATGAAGTACATTAGCAATATAAACAATTAAAAAAATATTACTTTGAATAATTATAAGATTTTATTCCCTTGTTTTTACCTAAAATACCAGATAAGTACGAGTTACACTAGCTCTAAACTTGAGGGTTCCCTACACGTAGCGAACTTTTTTGGTATAAAAGTAAATGTTTAAAAAATATAAGTTTTGAATTTCAAATAACATAAGTAATACAGAAAGGAAAAGTTTTGTAAAAAAAAAATTAAAAAATTGTTCCTCTTCATATCAATTACATTATTTGGCATCCAAAACTTATATTTTGTAAACATTTGCTTTTATAACAAAATAAATTCACTACGTGTGTTTCTTTATATAGAAATATATTATATGGGATCCTGATCAATTGTCCGGATGTATGAATGTGTGTATGTGTGGATCCTTTTTTGCGAACACGATAACTTTACCAAGTTTTCATGGATTTATATAAATTTTGGTAGGCTTATTTATCATATTAATACAGTAAAAACCCATTTATCCGAAATAATAGATGCGTGCAAGCTGTTGTCCGGATAATCGAAATTACAAAACACACAAATTTTATTTATATAATCTTTGATATGTAATTATTTGCAAACATGAAAAAAAGAAATTATTATAGATACTATATAAAGAAATACATAAATATTCATTAAAAATTATTTCACAAATGTTTGCACAAATATTTTTTTTAAATTTTTAAATAAAAACGCTCTAAATTCAGGAAAAAATACAAAAAACGAAATGAAAAACTATATCTCAAAATGAACACAAGGATTATAAAAAATACCCCAAAAAACATTTTATCGTCTTTTGTAATAGCAAAATTTAAGGTAATATATAACAAAATCTAATTTTTTACGTCAAGACGAATCGATTGGTATATATATATGTGTGTGTGTGTATATATGTATGTAAAGTATAGATTTGATTTAAATTTAAAGAATTAATGAAAATTTTAAAAATAAAAAATTCACATTTTATCTAAAAGAGTGTTCCTTTAAATTCAAATTTATACATAAAATATTGTATTCCTTGCATTGAAACGAATCGACTGGTAGGAGAGAGTGGGGCAAAACCGGGTACCTTTTTGGAAATCTCGGTTTAAAAAGAATCTATAAAATTTAGTTCAAATCTCGTTGAAAATTTTTCATTGAATATTAGAGTCCGTTAGATAAAAATTTATCATTTTTTTCGAAAATTATCAGTTTTTTCTTGTAAACGCTATGATAATCAACTTCAATCGTTCTCGCTATATTTGTTTTGTAACCTACACGTAAAAATACGTAAAAATGTGTAACTTTAAATCCCTTAAGATAAAATTTTCTTTTTTTTTTAAAAAAACCCATAATTTTTTCTATAAATATGAGTTTTCCTTAAAAACAATATGATCATCAACTCCAATCGTGCTTGCTATATTTGTCCTGTAATCTACATGCAAAAATAAGCATGTGTACTAAATATGAACTGTCTTGGTTCAATAATGTGTGGGCTAGGAGGATTAAACGCTTTTTTTCAAAATTTTTTATTTTTCCTTGATAAAATCGTTTGGCCAATAGGGAGGGAGTACATGTCTTGCTTCACTAGACTCATTAATTAATTAATTTCTAAAAAGAAAGACAATATTTCTTGTTACATTACCGTCGGATATGATAAGACCTCTGATTCTTCAATTATTGTAAAAGAGTTTACATCTTAAGAGGTGTTATACTTGTTTTGAGGCTTAAAAAAGGGTGTTTTTAAAGATTTTTCGTAAATACAGTTTTAAATTATTATCGTTGGCAACTAATATACCATTTGATTAAGCAACTTTAAAGATTAAGGAAAAATATTAAACAATTTTCACATGTAAAATATTATAAATTATAACATCACAATATTTCATGATATACAATATTCTTCACATATAACTTTTCAGGAAATTCTATATTTTTATATATAGCAGAATCAATAGCATGAATTTTTAGATGTTCCTTGGATTTAACTCTAGAACAACCAACATAAATTTCACCATGACCAAATGTTGAAATTGGTAAATAAATTCCTACTCTATCAAAAGATTGTCCTTGAGATTTATTAATAGTCATGGCATAAGCAAGTCTAACAGGAAATTGTCTTCTTACCATTTTGAAAGGATATGTGCCTTGAGAAGGAGATAAATCAATACGTGGAATAAAAACTATTTCACCTTTAGATTTTCCAGAAATTATTTCTGCAGAAATTACGTTTCTCAATAATGATTTTACAACTAATCGAGTCCCATTACATAATCCTTGAACTAAATTCATATTTCTCAAAAGCATAATTATACATCCTACCTTTAAAGATAATTTATGAGGAGGTAAACCATCTGGTGTCAAACTATTTAAAAATTCTATTGGAATAATATTATTTACATCTTTTGGGTCGTCATCGACATGTGAATCAACACTATAATAAACTACTTCTTGTCCTTCTAATTTTAACAAAATACGTTCATTTAGATCTAACACTTCAGAATTAGTCAATGAAAGTATGCATGATGAGTAAACAGATACATCATTTTGATTTATTGACAATCCATATATTTCATCTATTAAATTTCCGCCAGAAATCAAATCCTGTGGAATTTCTAAAACACCGTTCTCTTTTTCAAACATAGAATGAGTTTTACCGTCACCAACATTTAATAACCAATTTGAAAACTCTTCCTGATTATTATCCAATCTAACATTAACATGTAAGGACCTAGTTTCAAAAAGATCCCACAATCTACTATTTTTCACACATACCTCAACAATGTGAGTGCGACTGCCATGCGAAATAATTGGCAAAGTTTGTCTAAAATCTCCTGAAAGCAAAATAACTTTACCGCCGAATGGTTTATTACATTGTGTTATATCTCGCAACATAGTCTCCATAGCTTGTAAAGCAAATTTAGGTGCCATCGTAATTTCATCCCAAATTATAATTTTGGCATTTTTTAAAAGTTCAGCGTGTTTTGACATTCTACTTATATTACATGTTGAATCTTCATTGATTGGAATAGGAAATTTAAAAACTGAATGTGAGGTTCGTCCACCTCTTAAAAGATTAGCTGCTATACCAGTTCAAGCAACTGCTAAAACTACTAATTCTTCACTTTCAAGAGTAGCAATAATTGTATTTTCTAAATAACTTTTACCACAACCACCAGGTGCAGAAACAAAAAAGTACCTATTTTTGCAATCATCATTATGTATTGCTGCCATGACATCATCAAAAATTTTGCGCTGATCATTGTTCAAACTTTTAATAAGTACTTCACTTTCTTCTTTGAGCAATTTTAATGATAGTTCATTAGCTTTCTTGTCGACAGAAATATAATCGTCGATAATTTTTTGATCAATATTTGGTAAACCAAATTTATTTAGAGAAAATCCATGAAAATTAAGCACTTCATTAATTAATATTAACGCTTTTTGAGTTGCTACTTCTACAGGTACATTATTATCAAAAACCATGTGTTCTTTGTACTTATTCCATAAATCAATTGCATTCACAGGCAATCCAAACACACATATATATGCAAATAGACGACAAAGTTCTTTAGGAAATTTCATGCTTACAGCTTCAGCCAAACAATTATCCCATTCACTATCATCTACTATCAAATTTCGTGCACGCACTGCTTCTACAAAAGTATTGTATGTAATACCTTCATATGTTCTTACATCTTCAAATGATTTAGCACCACGTACATAAAGTAGTAAGACTCTCAAAAAATATCTTTCAACATCTTTCGGACTTACAAAATACATGCGGCAAATTATAGGTTTGGTAATTCGTTCCCTTATTTTCCAAGTTTTTGATGATTCAACGAAAACATACTTATGTGGTATTTCTGTGTACAAATACTTGCGTGCTTCAGGATTTTCTCGATTTAATTTGAACCATGCTGTTAATGTCGTATTTTTAAATTTATTAACTGCTTCTTCTTCTAATCCTTCTTTAAAACATATTAATTGCTGATTTGGTAAATGTACAGCTAATCTATAAGTTGTATGTGATTGTTCATGCATATTGAATTCGAATAATCTGTGCATAGCTTCTGGTGGACATACATAACGTGTGTTTAAATAATTAACAATTTCATCATATTTCATTTCCTCATTATCATCCTTATAACCTATTATTGCACAGTCATGACCTTTATACATATATTTGAATAAATATTTAATGCCATCCGTACTACCACATGGTATAACACAAATATGACCTTCAAATTTTTTACTCAAATACAGATTATATGGTACGATCATCGAATTGTCAGCGGTACATTTAATTGACCCATCTTTGTTATAAAAAATGATTTTTTTACCATCATTTCTTCGCCTGAGTTCCGGATAATTCTTAGAACCATAAGTTGTTTCAGAACAAAACGGCTTTGGATAGTTTTTTGTACAAACTTTCTTCTCAGGGTCCATGCAAGGTGAATTCATATTTTCTTTTCCACAAGGCCCATGAACTTGAAATTGCTTTACAATCTTAAAAAGTTCTGGATTCTTTGTTTCATCTGGAATTTCAGCACATATCATTTTATGTAAAGTTTCTGCATCGCGAATTGGATTACGTAAAAATATAATTAAATGCACATGTGGCAATCCACGCTTTTGAAATTCTATGACATAAACAAAAGCAAGAATTGGTCCAAAAATTTCTTTTTCTTTTATATCTTTCATTATCTCTTTCACTTTTTGTTGAAAAACTCTAGTCACAATATCCGGACGATCAGATGCAATTTCAATATCCAACAAATTTTCTGTAATCTCACGCCACTTTGGATTACATGTCATGGTAATAAATAAATTTGGTTTTCCAAATTCTTGAACTAATCGCATAGCATCCATAAAACATTGTTGATAACAACGTGGCCTTCCAATAAATGTCGAAGGTAAAATAATCATTTTTTCAAGTCGAACATTTTCATTTTTTGCTTTATTGCGAACATAATCCATTAATCCACAATACAATTCCGCTCGAAGTTTTTTTTGTTGTAAACGAATGTATTTTAAACGTTCACCTTCTACTTTCGACCAGACATCAACTACATATTGTTGAGTTAATTTTCCTAATTGTAAACATGGATTAAAAGTTCTTCTACATGCAAGACGATACATATAAAATTGTAAAGGAGTAACATTTCGAGTACCTTGAGTATGCTTAAGGTTAACAGTCCATCCAGGATCACCATGAGGAAAAATTAAAGGATATGTCATGGGATCAACATTTTCGCTAAGACTAGATATTGGAATACTCTTTAAACCTTTTGGGTGTATACATATATCACGTTCCATAGGAGGTTCACCATCTTCGCTAACAAATACAAGTGCTACTTCACTACAAGATGGAACATTAAATTTGCTTTGATTCAATGATCTATCTCGTTTAATCCACATTTGAATATTCCTTATAGGCTCATTTTTAGATTTTGCTAGTGCTTCTTCTTCTAATTCTACCTCTCTCATCATTTTAAAAGCTTTAGCATAAGGATTAATTTCCCTTAATAATTTATCTATTTCTTCCATTAATGATGATAAACATTTCTTATTAGATTTATTCTTTAATCGTTCAAGTACTGCTTCATTAGTGTCAATAATGTACAACTGACCATATTTTCGATTGTCATCACCATCGGGATGAAGGGCATATGTATTATGATACACTTGTCCATGTACACGATAAATATAAGGCCCATTTCCTTTAGGAATTTCTAATTTTGCTCCTATGCTGGCGAATGCTAAGGAATTATTATAAGAACGAATATTTTCTTTATAATTTTTACCTTCAAAGCTTGAATCAAATAACAAAGTTTTTAAATAAAGCGGATAAGGATTTAATACTTTCAACTTTACTTTTCCCTTGTGACAACAACTATTAAATAATCTATCTGACGGCCTTTCACACAAAAAATGTAACGCACTACTAAACTTACATTCTACATTCATCTAACCTAAATAATTCTGTGAAACTTTACTTTCATCGAAATCTTCAAAGGACATAATTGCTACTCCTACAGTGCCTAACTTTTTTTCATTTTTCTTATCGTTTTTACATGCCAAATTCTTTTTTTGACGCACTTTCTTTTCATCCTCAGTTTCTGTATCTAATTTCTTCCTCTTACGTGACAAATCTTTTTCTTTGTGCACTTTCTTTTCCTCCTCAGTTTCTTTAGCTAATTTCTTCCTCTTATATGCCACATTTCTTTCTTTGCGTATTTTCTTTTCATCCTCAGTTTCTGTAGCTAATTTCTTAATCTTACATGCCAAATTTTTTTCTTTGCGTATTTTCTTTTCATCTTCATTTTCTGTAGATAATTTTTTTCTCTTATATGCCAAATTTCTTTCTTTGCGTATTTTCTTTTCATCCTCAATTTCTATAGTAAGTTTCTTCTTTTTGCATGTCAAATCTCTTTTTTGGAGTTTTATTTTTGGAATTTCTGTTTCATTACGATTATCTTTTGTCAGTCTATTATGCTCTTCTATAATTATTTTCTGCTCATCATATTTTTTATGATGCACAAAGTATTTTTTTATCATTTTCTTCACTTAGGAAATGCTTCATTTCTAAATATTTACGTGGAGAAACTTTATTTACATTATTATTAGTTGCACCAATTCTTTTCTTTTCACTTGCGTCATTCAAAGAACGTTTAATTTCTAAATGTTGTGTTGATATAACTCTATTTGCATTATTATTTATAAAACTGTTATAAAAATATGAAGGGTTTAATCCACCAGTTTGAAGTTCTTCAGCTCGATTTATTAAAAGACAATTCCAATCATCCTCTACAATTGAATTTCTAATAATTGACGATCTCACTGAGGGGAAAGGATTCAACCGATTATTTTCAAAAATTAATTTCAAATGTTTTCTCATTCTATCATTATCAGTTTCATAAATTAGACTGTTTGGCATTATGTTGAAAAATACAGATGTTGCAAATGCTATTGCATATACTCCACACTCAACACTTCCAGCCGGTTGTTGATCAACAGCTACAAAAACTACTGTTGGTTTAAAAGGGAACAATCTAATTAAATATTCTATTTGATGAATATTCAAACACCCTCCATTAAGGCTATCAAAAATATAAAGTCTTACTCCATCGTAATAAACACAAATCCAATGACCAGAATTGTTATTACCGCTAAAAACTTTTTGAATATGTTTATCTCCTTCTCTAATTGGAACAATTAAATCAAGCATTTGTAAATACAAAGTACTTTGCATAATGAAAAAAGAATTTGAATCATTTTTTAATAATTCTTGAAATTTATACATATGCATATCATTTAACATTTCATTTGCATTTTCAATAATCTTAAAATCTTCATTACTTAAAGTAAAATACTCTTTTATGTTCGACATGGTATCCTCCTTCAACTTTTAAACTACCGATAAAGTCACTTTTCAAAACAAATCTTTTATTTTAGTTTCTGGCTTTAAAAAATGTACTTACATGTGTTTCACCTATAAAATATTTCATTAACTATTATTCAGCTAACAAATGCAACAATGATAGGCTTATATGAATGTGAATTAGCGTTGTTTAATCTTTTTCCACATTACATCATTTTCGATAATGATTATTATTTAACTCATTTTCCTCTGCTCTTTTTATTAATATTCAAATCAATATTCAACTCACAAACTATTATTTAACCCATAAAACCACTTCAACCCTTAAAACAATATTCAAGCCTCTTTCTTTCTATTTCAATACTTTTCCAAAAGCCAGCATCCACTATTATCAAACAGTCAATATTTTTTTCCAATATCGAAATATATTCATTACTAATGTTATCTTATATCATATTTTATTATCCTCAAAATCCAAATATCTTTAATGACAAAATTATCCAATACCAAAAAATTTTTCCAAAAACCAACTTCCACTATGGTCAAATAATCAATATTTTTTTCCAATATCAAAATATTTTCAATACCAAAATATTTTCAATACCAATGTTATCCAATATCTTTCTTTATCCTCAAAATCGTAATATCTTTAATGCCAAAATTATACAATACCAAAAATTTTTTCCAAAAGCCAGCTTCCACTATTATCAAACAATCAATATTTTTGTTCCATTATCAAAATATATTCAATAATAATGTTATCCAATATCTTTCTTTATCCTCAAATTCGTAATATCTTTAATGCCAATGTTATCCAATACCAAAAAAAATTGATTAAAGTATTTTTTATATGGAATTTTCGATAATGATTATTATTTAACTTATTTTCCTCTGCTCTTTTTATTAATATTCAAATCAATATTCAACTCACAAACTATTATTTAACCCTTAAAACAATATTCAACCCTCTTTCTTTCTATTTAAATACTTTTCCAAAAGCCAGCATCCACTATTATCAATCAGTCAATATTTTTTTCCAATATCGAAATATATTCAATACTAATGTTATCTTATATCATATTTTATTATCCTCAAAATCCAAATATCTTTAATGCCAAAATTATCCAATACCAAAAAATTTTACCAAAAACCAACTTCCACTATGGTCAAATAATCAATATTTTTTTTCCAATATCAAAATATCTTTAATACCAATGTTATCCAATATCTTTCTTTATCCTCAAATTCGTAATATCTTTAATGCCAATGTTATCCAATACCAAAATAAATTAATGGATTAAAGTATTTTTTATATGAAACATTTAAGACAACCAAAAGAAACAAATATCAAATAGTCAATATTTTTTTAAATAATAATAATATAATATAATTTAAGAAGATTAAACACATGCACTAAGTTATAATGTAATATCTATATAATAATCAAGTTAAGTTACCTGAGACTATAAGAAGCTTTTTTTTAGCGACACTACTGCAATGTTGTTGCAACGGTAGACGGTTGCTCTATGTTTATCTTACATCAGCAGTAGCCGTTTCACTCCATTGAGGAGAAGTGTTATACCCCCACTCTACCAATCTGGGCCTATATTAAGTTCTCGCGAGTGGCAGATATTACGGTAGGCCTGAGTGGCGTCCTCGGGGATAGGTGTTGGTAAGTTAAGTATGAATACACCACTTCCACTCACTGGGATTAAACGGTTATCATCTATATCGCATATACAATAATACAAAAATTCCCCTCAACCCAAGACTGTTAGGACGAATCGAGCGATCACGGATTGGGTCCTGAAAAGGGAAGTGGTATATCATCACTCTATCGGCCTGTCCCGGGCTCAGACCTCAAGTAAGTCAATTACAGCGAGGGCCTGTATGACGTTCTCGGGCTTGATGACAATATTATTTTATGACGCTTAATGAGTTTTTCAAAAAAATTTTAAAATTTTAAACTATAAACACTGTTTAATTTATTTTGACATATTCCTTTTCCTCAGAAGTTCACGATTACGATCATATATTGCTCCAATAATAACACAGGCACAAAAAAAAATTCAGGTCCCAAAAAACACAACTCCATATTCCTATGTTTTTGGGGTCGCTGAAACCGAATATGACGATGAACAATTTTTTTGACGACCCATTTTCCCGCAACCACCCCTTGCACCTACTCACGGGGGTTGGAATTTCAAATTAAAAAAAAATTGAGTATGGTGTCTATTCCAATGTTTTTTGGGTCGCTTCATCCCAAAAACACCATTGAAAACAAATCCTTCCTTTCCTTAACCCCGTACAACCCTCTGGGAGGGGGTTAAAATTTTAAATTACACAAAAGTCAAGCTCGGTGTCTAATCCTACGTTTCTTGGGGCGCTAAAATCAAAAAACACCACCAAAAACAAATTCTTTACCCCCTTAACCCGCTAGAACCCCTGGGAGGAGGTTGGAATATCATTTTTCACGGCGCTAAGTGTAGAAAAATAAATTTCCTTAAGACTTTGTAGGTGCGTATTTGTGTAATCATAGGTAACTTTCTAGAAAACTTTATTGTTGGTGATGTTTTTTGGTTTCAGCGACCCAAAAAACATAAGATTAGACACCGTACTCGACTTTTCGTGAAAAATGAAATTCCAACCCCCTCCAGGGGTTGTAGGATTAAGCGACCCAAAAAACATTGGAATTGACACACTACTCGATTTTTTTTTTGAAACTCCAACCCCCGTGAGTAGGTGCAAGGGGGTGGTTGCGGGAAAATGGGTCGTCAAAAAAAATTTTCATGGTCATATACGGTTTCAGCGACCCCTTTCATTACAGTATTTAAAAGGTCATCGACCATCTTATGAACCCTCAACCAAAAGCTGTTTTGACAACAAAAATTTCAGGTAGAAACCTTCGAGAACCCTAATTATCAAAGTAAAGATATATATGTATATATAATCTAATAATAATGAGAAAATTCAAGTACTAAGAAAATGTGAATGAATGACGGAATGAATACAAAGATTATTATACTATAATAATAATAATAATAATTACACAGCCACACAAAAAAAAATTTGTGTTCTGACCCAGTGGTCTCACTATGTGTACTTTATGTTTTTGGGATCGCTGAATCCGAATCCGAGGTCCATTTAACCCCATCAGTTCAGGGTTTTGATATAACCCCAGAAAACCAATATGGCGGACACCTTTTGGAAAAATTCATCGAATTCGCTTGAAACTCGTTACTCGGGGGTTTTAAGGGTCGCCGATTACGAATTTGATGTCAGTTTTCAAAAATTCAAAATGGCGGATCCAATATGGCGGACAATTTTTTGTAAAATTCATCGGATTCGCTTGAAAATCGTTACTCAGGGGTTTTAGGGTTCGCTGAACCCGAATTCGAGGTCTATTTAACTCCATTAAAATCAGAAATTTTTTCTAACCTCAAAAAATGACTTTATTATTACATTTATTTAATTAAGACCAATTTTCTAAATCCTTGTACCGTCGGCATTGGCATTACCCGATGTAACGGGTAACGATTTTCAAGCGAATCCGATGAATTTTACAAAAAATTGTCCGCCATATTGGATCCGCCATTTTGAATTTTTGAAAACTGACATCAAATTCGTAATCGGCGACCCTTAAAACCCCCGAGTAACGAGTTTCAAGCGAATTCGATGAATTTTTCCAAAAGGTGTCCCAAAAACATAAAGTACACATAGTGAGACCACTGGGTCAGAACACAAATTTTTTTTTGTGTGGCTGTGTTATTAATACTATACAAAAATAGGAATTTATTTTTTGGGCCCAATACAAAAATGAAAAAGACAAATATAATATTAGAAGATTCAACACATGCAGTAAGTTATTGGTCGACAAATTGCAGAAAAATATAAACTATATAATAATCAAGTTAAGTTACCTAAGACTATTAGAAGCTTTTTTTTATACTCCTTTATACTCCCATTCTTCCAACCCGGGCCTATGTTAAGTTCTCGCGTGAGGCAGATATTGCGGTAGGCCTCAGTGGCGCACAGTGGGAAAAAAATGATCCTCTGTGGACAAAAATCTACCGACAACACAAATCTTAATCGATTTTAATATTTTTTTTTTAAAATACTCGGAGAGGTTTTTCCTGTAACGCACAACTGCGATAAATTTGATTTATTTCAAACTAACCTTAAAAATGATACCTATATATAAAATTACGTTATTAGGATGGTTTAAAAAATAAAAAAATGATTAATTTTGATATAGCAGAGAGTATTGTGAACCCTTTTTGATCACTGAATGCGAATTTGACATTAAAATTGCAAAATTTTAAAATTCAAAATGGCGGGTGCAATATGGCAGGCAATGTTTTATAAAAGTCACCAAATTCACTCGAAAGTTGTTATTCAGGGGTTTTTAAGGTCGCTGGTTACGAATCTGAAGTCAAATTTCAAAAATTCAAAATGGCGGATCCAATATGGCGGATAAGAAAATCAAAAACTAATTGGATTTGCTTGAAAGTTATTACACGGGGGTTTTTTGGGTCGCTGATTACGAATCCGATGTC